CTTTCCCTAAGAAACACTAATTTGTTCTGTTCTTGACAATAAATGACTTTCAGTTACAAAAGATGAAGTGTCTGTAGCTCTTTCTTGCATTGCTGTTCAAAAAATATTCTTTTTTTGTAGCACTCCATCTTAACTTGTTTTAGTCACGTTTGCATAGTGTGCTTACCTGTGCCCGATCTGGTCATATAAACAATTTATCTTGCTTATGGGCAGTATTTGCAGCCTGTGCAGAGCATTGCAGTGTTGTGGCTAGATTGCTATTTTAATTCAATGTAAAATAAGTTTACACTGCAATCACTGTCTAGAAAGATCCTTAGTTTGCAGTAAGTAGAGCTAATCAGTGCTGGTGGACAGATGGCTTGGTGTTCTGAGTTTCTTAAAATTAACTCCAAAGTAAGAATTGATAGCTAGTTTATTAAAGGAATGAGATAGTGGGCATGCAGATCAGTCTTGTAAGTCTGCTAGTTCTTTTAATAGTGAGAAGGTGCAAGTAATCACTGGGAAAGTTTTGCCTTCTCTGATTTTCTCATTTAAAACCTCACTTTAAATACACTGTTTACTTCAAAGCTTTCTGTCAAGACTAATTCTGCAAGGCATCCATAACTAAAAAGAGCTTCATATACTGGGTTCCTTTCATGTCCCCTCCTGTGACTAACATGCAGCTCTGCATGGGATACTTTGTATCCCAGAATCTAGAATCCCCGTTTCAGGAAGAACTTAGACTTGCTATGTGGTGCCATTACATTAATCCATAGACACATCGTCTTCCTGGATTTGTCATGAACTAAGGTTTGGGGTTTTACTTGTGAGAACAGAAATTCTGCAGGGATGTCTATGAGGTTTTAGGTTACAGCGACAGGATATTTTTGAGACATTCATAATGCCTAGGAACTCATCTCTATACAGCTCCTCTAATTGGATAGCTCCGTGCTAGTTTTACTGCTTTATGCGTGCACACAAGACTTGGGAGGCTGGTTATGTCAAAATGATCATGTGGTTGGCTGTCATGCCGTTATTTGCATATTATAGAGCATGCAGTTGCGTGGTAAGCATGCACTTGTGTGGTGCATTTCAGAAGCCCATGTCTAAGCTCAGTTCACCCCAATTAAGTAACTGTGCAAGTCAAGCTTATCATAAGCATACAACAATGAAATACACAACCATTCATTCTGAAAGTACATTGCTTCCCCCATCCAGATCACTCACAGCAGACCACACTTGTCAAGCCTGTCTAGAATTAGCTGTTTTCTTTATATGAACTGTATCAAAAATAATCAATCTCTGCTTATTTATTTAGAATCCAGTGTTTAGATAAAAATATGTAATTTAAACTAGCACAAGGATTTAATGTGAAGAATTAATGACCTTTTATTGTAGAGGTCTCTCTTTTTCCTGGCATATAGATTAGGGTGTAAACCAGTCTTGCAGAGGGATCTAGATAGATTGGAGCACTGGGATGAAATTAAACAAATCAAAATGCTAGATTCTGCACCTGGGATGGAGTAATGCCAGGATCAAGTATAATTTGAGAGAGGAGTGGCTGAGAGCACAGAAAGTGATCTGGGGGTGCTCATCAACAGCAGGCTTAATGCAAGTCAGCAGTGTGCCCTGGCAGCCAAGAGGGCAAACCACATCCTGAGGTTCATTGAATACAGTAAAGCCAGCCAGTTAAAACAGGTGATTACCCCTCTGTATCCAGTGTTGGTGCAGCCTTGTCTGGAGTACTGTGTGCAGTTCTGTGCCCCACAGCTTAAGAGGGATGTGAAAGTCCTTGTATGTGTCCTGAAGAGGGCAACAAAGCTGGTGAAAGGGCTGAAAGGAATGTCCTGTGAAGAGCTAAGGACTTTGGGCTCGTCTAGTTTGGAGAAAAGGAGGTCAAGGGGCAGCCCCATTGCTCTCTATGGCTGATCTTCCTCCTGGTATTCAGTGATAGGATGTGTGGAAATGGTTCAAAGCTGCACTACGGAAGGTTTAGACTGGACTTTAGGAAGTATTTATTTACCGAGAGGATGGTCAAATGCTGGAACAGGTCTCCTAGAGAGTTGGTCAATGCCCCAAGCCTGTCAGTGTTTAAGAGGCATTTGGACAGTGCCCTTAATAACATGCTTTAACTCTGTCAGCCCTGAATTGGTCAGAACTAGATCATTGTAGGTCCCTTCCAACTGAAATAGTCTATTCTAAAAAACCCAGTTATTTGGTTTAACAATGGGAGCTAATAAACCATTGAGTGATTTTTTAATAGCAGTGCATTTTCCTTTAGCACCCTATGTGACTGCCAAGTTAATAGAATTATTTTCCTTTAGTTTTGGTAAGAGCAAGTCAGATTCTAAATGTATGCTTTCAGTACACATTCAAGAAATGCCCAAGCTGAAAATTGAAAAGAGCTCCTCTTTACTGCATAGCGATCAAAGCATGACCCCTTACTGGCAAGAAAAAGAATTTGAAAACTAATTTCAAGGTTCAGGCTTAATTCTCTGTCAAATTGACAGAACAGATCCTACACTAATATACATTTAACATCAATGTAGAACCTTCTCTTTATCTGTTCCTTTCAGTGTGCTAGTTATTAGTTTGATTTCATGGTTCCATAATATGAGCATTTTAGCTGTCTGAATCTGGTTTAAATATCTACAAACACATCCTTTTTACCAAAGAAATCTATCAGTTTGTTTCCTATTAACATCACTGATCTCTACTGATGACCTTTTCCTGAATGTTTGTTTTTCCATCTTCCCTACAGTAATTGCTCAGAAATGATTGTCATATAAGGAGTTGGCTATGGCAAACAGGAAACATCAAAGCACTACAGCCAGCATGCTGGATCACAGAGTGAGAGCTTGCCCTACTTCATCTCACAACAGGGAGCCTGAAAATGAAGAAAGTGACCTTCCTATTGAAGATTATGCAGCAAAGGAGACGGAACTAGCAGCTATCAGACAAGGCAGTCCTACACCTGTGGAACATGAGTGCAATGATCATAGTGGAGATGGTGACTCCAGCTCTGACTATGTGAATAACACCTCTGAGGAGGAGGACTATGACGAAGGCTTGCCAGAGGAAGAGGAGGGGATCACATACTACATTAGATACTGTCCGGAGGATGATAGTTACCTGGAAGGAATGGACTGCAATGGGGAGGAGTATGCTCCCCATGAGGAACACCATGTTGAAACAGATGAATGTCAGGAAGCTGTGGAAGAATGGGCTGAAGGTAAAATTCAGCACCAAGATGAAAATGAGGTGACTGACAGGCAAGAGTGGCAGGAAGGTCAAGATAATGGCGTTCAGATTTTGGAAGATGAAGTGTCATCTTTGGAGATTCGAGATCAAGAGGAAAACATAGAGTATTGTCAAAGTGAAGGTGGCTATCCAGACTATTACCCAGGAGAGGCTAATGGAAACTCACAGGGAATATCGCCATACCATTCTAGAAAAGAGGATGCAGAGCTGGAAGAGCAGGAAGAGGACATTGACCAGATTGTAGCCGAAATAAAAATGAGTATGAGCATGAGCAGTATTAATAGTACAACAGAAATGAGTCCAGAACACACTGGGACTGAAAACATGGCACATGACTACAAAGAGACTTGTTCAAAAGGAGAAGCTGTTCACAGTGCTAACAGGCATGAGGGAAGACCAAAATCACTGAATATCCCATCTGCCTCTAAGCACAGTGGAGATGTGCCTAGAGGTTTTAAAGCAAAGTCAAGAACCCCGGAGGACAGACTGAAGTGGCAACAAGAGCAGGTATGAGATTATCCAGACGATGAGGTATCCAGACGATCAAAGGCATTATGCAAATGTTATGTTACTTATTTATTCCAAAGAGCATTACAGAGCAATATTTTTACTTCTTTACTCTATTGCATTCACAGCTACGTAATCACATTGTGTGTTTAGGAAAAAAGGTGAAGGTAGTCAGTTTAGGTAGAGAACTGGGAAAGAGGTTTTGCACAGAGAACAGACAGTTCTAAGTAAAACAAAATATTCCAGATGCATAGGGCAATACTAGTTTATTTACACAATTTTTATTCTGCAGTGACATGCTAGATAAACTTAAAACTGGGGTCAGCATTGAAACAGTTGAAGGTTTGGGGTTTTTTTTTCCCCATTAAGGGCTCCCGTTTCATTGCCTTAGTGGGTGACTACTTTCAGTTTCTTTTGTTTTCAAGTGAACATATGCCAAGGCTAGACACCACGTACATTAAAAACAACTGGAAGAAGGAGTGCCTCCATATTGCTGTGTTTCTGTACTAGCTGGGCATATCTTGAACTTGGCAAGAAGAAATAGGAGCTTTACTCCTACCAAAAATGCCATTAAGCAGTTTTATCACAAGAATGGTATAGATGTTAATTTAAACCTTGCATGATCATTTCTTGTTCTAATGTTGAGTGCCAAAAAAAGATTCTGAAAAAAATCAGACTCAAAAAGAGCTCAAGCTTTTCTGGAAGAACAGAGGTATGAGCTTTTCTGCTCTTTTTTAAAAATTTCAACTGGAATGTGCTTACTTCATTAAAGAGACATCTAATTCCCTTTGCTCTAAGGTCAGTTTAAAGCTTTGGCTTTGCATATCTGAAGCTTTCTGCAGCTGAATGTTAGTTTTCTTCTGCAATGAAGAGAGCTCTACCTAAAAGAGGTAAAACAAAACGTATTTATATGACAGACTAGTAAGAATAAGAGGTTTATTTTGCCTTATCTTTAATTAAAGTGCTTTATTAAACTTCAGAGATATGTTTCCTGTTTCAGCTTTATCAAATCTATAAATATTATGATTTTCTATAGTTAAGTGCCCTACAGTTAAACAATTTAATCTAGATTATTCCATTAAAGCCAGACGTTAAAATATGTCAGTTCCTCAGAAAAACAGTAAAAGGAAATCAAATGTTTAACTATATGCTGATGAAACAGGTTGACCTTTATTATAATTGTGAACAAAAAAACTTTTGGGAATATTTTCAGATTTCCCATACCTACTGCAAGTTTTTAGTATTAATTTCTACATTCGGTTTTCAGAAGTATAATCAGAACCAAATTGTGTAACTTTACTTTATTCAGTGCCTTACTACCAGCATAAAAGTTATCCCACATGTGAATAAGCTTGATCTTGAATGATTTGAATAGTTACTAGGTATTGGCTAGGAACAGAGAATATTTTAATCTAAGGATGGTCTTTCTGACACAGTACACCAGCAGCTGCTACTGGCATTGTTGGTGCTTGTAAGTATTGGAAGTATTTGCAGAACAAAAAAGAAGAGGAGCTCTTGAATAAGAAAGTTAGTGAATTCTTCTATATGTTTGAATAAGAAATTGTTGTTTTATTTTCCCCTGAATGATTGCTAATTCAAAACAGAATTCAAAATAGACTTTCATTTCAACATCTTTTTGTACTCTTTCAAAGTTGCAGCGGTTGAGCTGATTTGCATTGTACCTTTATTATTCTTGCCAGAACAACAGCTGGGGGTTTTCTAACACCAGGATATTGTTAAAACTGCCACTGGTGTGAAAATAAACGAAGGGACTTAAATATTTCTGCATTGCCTGTCTGAGCTTTGTTACTTCCAGACAGTCTTGGGACAATGCCTTAATGTTTTTTAATAACAGAGGAAGTGCTGGTGTGATAGTTAGGTACTGACTGGGTGACAAGACACACATTTATTTTGTAATAAAGGAGACAGGGCAAAACTGCTGTGGGCATCTTCACTGAAGAGAAGAACACAGGCCTCCAAGGCATAAAGGTGTGAAGTGACATTTCCTACGGAGATACAGAGGCTCACAAATGGAGACATGAGGAGATTCTCCTCTCTCCTACCCCAAGCCTCCAGGGATGGAAAAGAAAGATTAAAAAGTTAAATAATCTTTGGCAAGCATTTCTTGAATGTGTTTATCATAACAAGACAGGTCTTATCTTGCAGTATTCTGTTTACCTACTGCAGGTTGCTCATCATCCTCAGTTTTATCTAAAAATCAGAATGATTGTGAGGGCATTCGAATAAGAATACAGTATCCATTTCTGCCAAAGTGAGAATAAAACCTTGAGAGGCCCTTAAATGTCCTTAACTTGAGGTGAGACTGGACCTTTAACATAGATAATGGACCTCAGAATTTTGATAAAGCTCAGAGGATTTTGTTTTTCTTCTAGGGCATTAAATTCTTCTAATAGTCACTATAAAATGTGTAAGGGATGGATGCAATTAGTGTACTGTCTAAATGAACCTCTGTCTGATTTGTGAAAGTGAGGTAGTAATTATCTTAATTACAACAATTAAAGTTCGTACATAATGAAAGGAGAAAAACCCAAGGCCGTTGTCAGTAGATCTGGATGCCAAACTCACTGTTTGTAGAGAATTTGCTTGGAAGATCCTTGGTTTAGTCACCTTGCTAAAAAATTTCAGTTTTAAGTGTGCATCACAGTACAAAAGATCATGGTGAGAGGGACGACAGAAGCGTCCATATTGCATACGGAACACTTTTTCTCCAATTCTTTAAGTTCATGTAGATTTGAATGCTTTTAACTTAAACTAAGATACTGTGTATCAGTTTCTGTAAACAGTGAACAAACAGGAATGTGCATTTTGTTGTTTTATGCACATACTGTGCTGTCCTTAGCTTTTTTGTGTGTTTCTGCTCCTCTCCTCCTTTCCTGCCTCCCATAGGTTGTAATACTGCTGCATAAAATTTCAGGTTTATTAACAGTAACTGATACACAATACATTTTAATATACCTTTAAAAATATAATTATTTATTTTTAGCCCATGATAACTGCTAGGAATTGTCTTGCGTACAAAATGTTTAATAACTAGTAGATAAATGACATTTTAAAGGTTCCAGTTTGCTTTCAGCAATTAATCACCACAGAACTAGAGTCATACTTCCCAACTAGAACTTCCCAACTAGAGTCATACTTTTATGAAATACTGGCATTGGCATGACCGGAGAGCTACATCTGATGAGTATGGGACTTAACACTTGGGCTTTGACTGTCTAATCAGCTCTTTGTTCTTCACGTCTCATCTACTTAGATTTCAGACTGCAGACGCCTACCCTATTCCATCAGATCTATTTACCAACAATAAAGGATAAATTTTTAACAGCACCAACACCCTACCTTCACCTATACCCTTTTGAAGAAACAGGGATTTGCCATTATCACTATTAAGAAGGCAGACCTTAGAGGAAAGTCTGCTTTTTAATGATGCTGCCTGACACCAGAATCCTGTTGCTTCTCATTTCTCAATTGTACTTTCATATCACTGGCATACATTTGAGAACCTCACCAAGTATGCTCTTGCAAACTCCCCTGATAGTGACCCTGTGAGCTTCTGCAGTGTTATTCTCATTTTGCAACTTTCATGTAGGCTATGCCTTTACACTTTTTCAACATGGACAGAGACAGGTAAAATATCCTAAAATAAAATTATGAAAGAAAATTTTACAAAGTCTTCTTTTTTGTCTTAGCTTGTTCTCCAACAGCTTTGCGTGCATCCTTGCTGCTACTGTGTTGTTTTGTTTACCTATACTAGTAAAGCTCAGTATTGGCAAAAATATTTGAAGTTTATTCCCTTCTCTTCACGTGGGCACAGTGCCAAAAAGCCCAAACCCAGGAGTCTTTTGTCCGTAAAGATTTCACCCTTAGACCAGTCTGAAGCAGCTAAGATGATAGACATTTTAGAAAACCTGTGTCCTAGGAATGTCTTAGCGAAATTCAGTCTGAGTATTATGGGGTGCATTTTATAGAATTTGTAGAAAACACCAATGGGTGTAAGTAAAGGATATTAAAAAAGCTTGCTGCATTCTCCTATGCTGTTCTAGGCAACTGTGGGGCAGAAATATTAAATACTTATTACTGAATGACAGTTCCCAAACTTAGCAAGTTTAAGTACTTACTGAAAAGTGCTAAATGGTCCAAACATTCTCAAACAAAAACAGTTCCTCAGTGCTAATTGGCCAAGCCATGCCATTTTAGCAATGCATTCCTGACACCAGGAGACAGCAAAATCAATACCTCTTGCCTAAACATGCATTAGTGACAGTCTTCTCTGGGAAGTTTAAAGCAGAGGGCAGCATGGTTTCCAAATTACATCTACATAAAAATGCATGACTCAGCACAGCTATTTTTCTGAAACTCTTATCATGGCTGGTTCTCAATTTTAACTATATGCAAGGACAAAAACCTTTTTAATAGGATAAAAATCAATTTGTGATCATTTTAATGTTTAGCAAGATTGGACTAAGTACTGAAATTCTTTTGTGGAATGCTTAGATGTCTAAACTTATTTTGACTCCTTATCTGAACACCAGTTCCATACTGTAACTTGACATGCTTACTTGGAACTACTTCTTTCTACACATATTTTCCTCTTAATTTCTGATGTGTGCTAGCACCACCTCTAAATCAGCATGCAAGTAATAGAATCTTTGTGATAGAATAGAGTGTGAAGTCTGGCCTTTTTTTTTATTTTTCTATGATGAAAATCAGAAATCCTTCAGCTAGTCAAGAGTAGTCTTGTTCAGATTCTATCCTTGTCAGTATATCCTGCTGCGCCAAATTGCTCCTACCGCATCTTACTCATTTTACAATAACTAATAAAGCAGCTCAGTAAGGGTATATTAAGCCACTCCCACTACACATCCCCAGCATCTACAACAGAAGTTTATTAGGAATAGTACTGCCATAATAGACTTGTTACTACGTTACCATCTCTTGATTAAAGAAAATGTTTTAAATGCACCTTGATGTGTTTCTGTAAACATAGTAATGTTTAAAAATCAGGACAACGCATGGCCCAGTGATAAACTGTCTTCAGAAACCAAAAAAATGTCACAGAAGTTGAAACTAGAAACTGGAGTTTTGTCCTTAAGTGACAAAATATCCATCTGCTTTACCTTTGTTCTAGAGAGAGACAAAGCTTAATAATCTAGCCAGCCTACCACAAAACATCTATTTTCCAAGAAACTCAAGTCTTCAAGATGAATTTCAGGATACATAAGCCAGTACACTGGTTTCTGAACACGTTATTTTATAATATTTCAACAGTATTGCTAGTAAAGAGATGAACAAGTATGGATCATAAGTCTCATTATTCAAATGTGTAAACACAGTACAGCCTTACCACACCTCTGAGATGCACTCAGTGCTTGTTTACCAACTCTTTACCAAAAGGGTTAAAAATTCGGAAAAATCTAATCTTTCATTCCTCTCTCAGACAAATTATTTCTCTGAATAAATCAAGAAAGGGACTAGCCTGATAGTTTCCAGCAGAACATTCTCCAGGTCTCACCAGCACTGACCACCACAGCAGCATTCAGGATCACAAGTGGCAACTTTGAGGAGGACCATATTACTGAGCTGAGCTTTTGACTGAAAAGCTTAACAGCTTACACAGGAGTAACCAACCAATAGTATTAAGAAACAGCAGAACTCAATCACTACCAACCTCCAACTCCAGCTACGAGAAGCTTTATATTGCAGGAAGGGGTGGTTATAAAGGGAGTCTGGTTGGCTGGAGGGGCTCTGCAAGATTGGTGGGAGGAGGGAGGCCGGCCCAGGTGGCCCCAGGCCTGGCAATTGGCCATCAGGGCAAGGCATGGGTAGAGCAGCAGGCTTCTTTCTGAAAGATGTGCTTAGATGCTGCAGTGACCTCAAATAAGTAGAGTCTGATTTTCCTCTTAGCCTAAATATGGCATTTTCTGCTGCCTCACGCTTGTTCACATGATGCTGGATACTGCCTCAGTACTTGCTCAGAGGCAAAAGTATTAATAACACTACATCTTTAATATTATTAGATTTTTATAACTCTCCTTTGCAGAATCTGTCCTTGTATCACAATCTTATCCTAGGTTAAGAGACTTTTAACATAGCTGTACCTCTGTGTTAGTGTGCAGTCAATTGCAGATTTCTGGTTCAGCTTTAGGTCCTATTTTAAACTGCATATCAGGGTATAAAGTATTTATAGTACCTTATAAATGTTTCCCTCAAATGTGATTTCTTCTAGCTATCGTAACAGTTAAAACAACAATATAAACTGGAAACTCTGTAAGAAACACGAAGAAAACAAGTATCAAGTATGATAATTTATTTGATGTTGGTCAGATCACCTGGGAGCATGAACCAACTTCCAGCCTACACTGAATACCAGAATTTAGGTTTTCTAAAAATGATTCCATAAAGAAGCTCCAAGACAGTCCCTTCATCCTTGGTCTAGAAGCATGTTCTTCCATACGTACAAGACTACATGGTTTCTGACTGTGAATGGGAGATACAGCCATGCCTACTCTGCACAGTTCTCTCCTTTGACACTGTAAGTCTGATGGAAAGAAAGGGAAGCCCTTCTCCCTGTACTTCTTTCTGCCCTTTCCCTCTGAGATACCATGTTAGAAATAATTTCTTCAGCACAAAGGTCTCAAGCCTTATTTTATAAAGGGTCACTGTAACAGCCCACATACTTGCAGGCAAATGTTAGGCACAGAATGTCTCAGAGAGGCGCAGGTCCCCTTACTGACTACTTGGTATTTCATGCTGCTGCTGACGGGACACAGGGTGGGCTACTCTCCAAAGCCGAGAAGTGCTCAAGAATGTGATACTACGCTCAGCTTTGTTTGGAGGAAGTGCTCACAGTGACACACTCGCCTCCCCATCACAACACTTTTAAAGAACAAAGCATTAATAGATTAGCCAGAGTTGGAACATATTGTGTGCACAGATGAGCAGGAAAGAAATGGAAGAATTTCTTGAGATTCTGCCTAATTAGACTGGGGGTCCTAAACACATAGGCGAAACACTGGGAAAAAAAGCAAATTGGCCTTTGTGTACAGACACCAAATAGTAAGTGAAAAACATCTAGTATTACTATGTTCCTTTTAAAGGTGCTGTGATTGATCCCAACTCATCATGCATGCTGCATAGACTTCTTTTTGGAACCCAGCCTATACACAATAACAACAATATATACTACATCTGTGACTAGGAAGCAATGAACAAGCAAGACTTGTTTGTTCCTAAAATCCTAAAATCCCTTAAATCCTGAAAATAGGAACTCATTTAAATTACAGCTATGTATAAGTGAAAACAAAAGGGTTACACAAGTATATAGTCATATTTTATATTAAGTCTATATGGAATTATATATGTAGCTATTACCAAGGAGCACGGTTGGTATTATAATCCCCTTGGGCAGAATAAGTCCATTGACATGTAAGATTTATGACAGAGGCATGTTTCAATGTTTATAGCACTCAGGGTATACTTCCTAAACCAGTCAACCAATTATTTCTTTATATGCAGCTGCATTTTCAGTTCAGTCAAGTGCATGGTAATCAGAACTGACAGGGCTTTAGAAGTATTAACATTCTGATGTAGGTGCTGAGTATTCGCTGTCACTGTTTACAGTCTAATGTATCTTCATCATGGCTATGTCATTTTCCCTGCTTAAAGCATATCTAATCCTACTATTTTAAAGAATAATGTATGATTGTTATGCCTGTTTTATTAAAGCCCTGTAGATACTTGTTTACCTCATTAATATATTTCACTGCACATCAACATATACTGCTCCATATTGGTTTAGCCTTGCAATATAATTAGATTTATTGTCCCGGACGCAATGGCATTTATAAGCAGGGATATGGTAAACTTAGCTACTATAGCCATGTAGTCAATGGGTCCCAAGTCTTGGTGCTCTGTGTATATCTCATATAGTCTTTTCTTTCCTAAAATCCTGCTTACTAGGGTGAATTTTTGTTTTGTGTATGTCGTGTTACCTGAGAATTAGCATTACTGAGCTAATACCTCTAACGTGCTTGCTTCATTAGCACATTTTGTTCAGCTGACTGAATATTATGCATAGGGAATAATTTGTCTAGAGATGAACATGCAGACTTTCTTTGATTACAGCTACATATTGCATTTGAAAGTCAGAAGACAAGGAGGTCTGTTCACATGTAACATTCAGGCTGACCCTTTGAAATAATACTGGCTACATGTTTTCTATTTACACAGTTTCTTATTTGTGAAGCCTTACACTGACAGTGGCATTTAGGTACTCTTTTTTAATATACAATTTGGGGAAACTGAGAAAAAAGGAAAGTGAAATATCCTAAATCATAAAATATTGTTCCAGAAATGACCTTTGTTTTCCAGATTTCTAACACTGAAACTCTGAGTCATAAAAACTTTACTTCTTGCTACATATGGGACACGGCACTCGGTGAGCAGGGTGCTGGTGTTCAGTGACTTGTCTCAGGTCTGGAGAAGTTCTGCCCTTGAGAGTATTGGAACTTAGGAAAAAAAGAGTTCTGTAGTTTAAAAGACTTAGTATTTTCCTTGTCTAGGGTTTTATATTGTCCCTTTTACATTTCTTCAGAAGCCTGAAGCTGTGCTGCTAGCATCCTGTAGATTGGCTTAGCCTAAAAGGAAGGAGATGCCATGAGGTATCTCCAACAAACAGAGAATCCTATATTCAGTGCTAGGATTATGTTTTTCAGATCAGAGGTGGCCATTAGGACTATTTTGATTTTTTTATTACTGAGCATAAACACATTTTAAAAATCTGACTGTGGTTTCTGAACAATTTGTCAGCAGTTGCCTTAATTTAATGTAAAAAATTTGCATTGAAATAAAATAATTTAGTTTAAATTTAAATCAGTAGTGTAGCTGCTATTTAATGATAATTGAAGTGTCTTACTATTTACATCAAAGTAGATATTTTATTATAATTAAACAACTCAAATTTTTTATTTTAATCTCATATTTGTAAATTACAATAGGAAATTCCTGTTATATCACATTATGATATTTCAGTATCAGCGATGAGTATTGCTTGCACATACATAACTACAGATAAATAACTACACAGAACAGCTTCATGACCAGTGACTATCATCAAATAAGGCTAAGTACAGTTTCATATGTTAATGTTTTATGAATTTATATTACTGAATGTAATTTAATTTGGTGAAAATTTTCTATCTTTGCACTATTGACTTCCACAGAAATCTCTACTTTGTTTTGAAGCTTTTCAGAATACAAAAGGATTTAAAATCCTTTATTTTTTTTTCTTATAGATGTGCAATGGTTTAGAGCAGCCAAGGAAGCAACAGCGTTCAGATCTCAATGGACCAGTTGACAACAATAATTCATCCGAGGTAGGTACCTTAGGCCATTATGCTGCCTATCTTCCTGTGGTCAGGCTTCCACAAGGGAAAGCAGGCACTGAATTGTCAGCTTTCACCCTCTCACACACACATACTTAGGCTGTTTCTTTTCCTGAACTGACAATAAATACTATGTCTGCATATACCAAAAAGCCTTTGAACTATAATCATGAATATATTGCTGCCACATTCTTTTTATGTAACTGTCCACTGCATATACTCAAGCCTAAAATTTTCTGTTGACATACGGAACGGAGAAAATACTTCTGAAATTCTCTTTTTGGATTATTGGAGAGCAAGAGTAGCATCAAAAAGAAATTAGCTTCTGCTTTTTTTCTTCTCTCCCCTGCCAGTGTCAGTCTTTGAAACCAAAGGACTGCTTAATTCCCCCAGGAGTAAGTCTCTTTAAATAACCCCTAATATCAAGCACATCATTCAGTGCTGAGGGCTCAAATGATTCACATCTTTTTGAGTGGCCTCTATGGTAAGACGTGTCCTGGCTCAGTAAGCTGTGAAAAAGATGTGGTGATAGGCAGACCTGCTCTTTTCACTGAAGACTGGAGCAAAGAAAACATGTAAGAATGCAGAATGAGGTTATGCTCGAGGCTAGACACAATGAAATTAAATTCAGACTAAAAGTAGAAGTCTGTTATCTCAAAAACATAGAACATATTTAGTCTGTAGCCTGTTACAATAATGAACATTTCTAAAGCCTTTTCCCATAATGGAGAAATCAGCCTCTTTCCTGGA